GAGGATTCTGAGTTTTTGGCTCAAAAGTGAGGGGGTAGCTTATTTTCGGAGTAGCTTATTTTTGGGAATATACGGTATCTTATTCTGTGACATTAGATTCTTTAATATTAGATAAAAGGCTATAAATATTGATCAAATTTAGTATTAAATCATACTTATCTTGATTTCATGTAATATTAAGATCTGTAAGCGTTAGGCTACTATCTTGATTTTTTTCCAGTTCGATCAGATACATGTGAACCTTCTTAAATTCAACATGTCAATTACCATTTAAATTTAAGTTATAGTCGCACCTATCTTGATTCTGTGGTATTACTATTATAGAACTTACTATTTCATTGATCCTTATCGTTAGTACTATAAAAATTCTGTTGCAAAACCTATTAATATTCATCTGATACACAGTTATGGTTCACTGATGCTAGTGTTATTTATACCTCAGTTAATAATATCAAAGATATGTAGAAATGTGTGAGTTTAGATCGATTGATTTTCTACTTTGGCATATAATACAGAATATAAAAATCAATCTCTCTGTAAAAACTGTTATTATGTTTATAAAAAAAAAAAAGTGCTATATAGAACTTTTTAGAATATTAACGATTTAAATAAAATCTTAGGAACTATAAATAATTTGTCAATTTCGTCTGTTGATCATTGTTGTGTTCAAAACACAAATTACTGTTTATCTCGTGATTTACAAAATGTCAATTTTGTTCCTTTCTCTAGCACTCAGCCTATATGATTGTACTGCACAGTTATCTTATATAACTACCAACATTGGCAACTAACTGGTTGGTAAAATTTAATCAATTTGAAACACTACCCTGATGTGAAGACAGCATAAATACCAGAACACTTCACAGTAAAATGCAGAATAAGCAAAAAAAAATTGGAAAGAGACCTATAAATTTCTAAAAACATAGCAAAATTCTGAAATTCCAAGCAATGTAGAAAAACATTATCATACATAAAATTTGGTGTTAGTATACCAATGCCAAGTGGGGGGGAATAACAAACCAGAGTCAACTATGAATGCTAGCAAAGATAAAAGACTTGTCTATTGTCAGCTAAAAAATTCAAATACTTCACTGAATCTTGTGATACTGGCCTAATCAGTAATGAAAGAACTAACTATATTTTGATTAACTACATTGCCGGAATGAAAATCTTTGTGCACTAAATCGGCTTTATAAATTGTATTAAGCCCTCTAGCTATGTAAATAACTTTAGAAGCCCAATTTAATTCACCATATTTACTTACTATCTAACAATTTTTTGAGACTTCCCTACTTTGCATATTTCATAACCATCCTGTTGTTACCATCTTTTGGGTTCTTGGTTATTCCATAAATCGTAATTGCAGAATCGTCACAGATTTTTAATCTACAGCTGTTCTTAGTGATGTTTTGTAGTCCGGTCTAATGTAATTAAAGTTGAGCTTTCCCCTTGTCAGAAAAAAAAATCCGGGTTAGTTAGTTCTCACAAATTAGCTAATTGGCAGCATTGCTTTTTCTGAAAATTGGCGAATTTACCTATATTACTTACCTAAATTTGCTCTCTAAGTAAAATCTTTAGTGATAATGATCTATACTGATCTTTTTTCACTAAAGACGTATGAAGAGGTAAAAAAGACTTAAAGATGTTTAAAAAAAAAATTATTCTGTGAAACCATGAATTGTCAATTGACAATGTGGCTTTTCATAGTAAGAGTTACTTGAAAAATTTTTATTTATGTTGTGTAACTCAGGGATCTTCGAGCCAATCAAATCGAATATCCGCCATGCTGGGGTCGTCTAAAAGGAGCAGAATCACGTGATATACGACCAATCAAATTATAGAAATTTGAAAAGCGAAAAACTTGAAAATACAAAAATTAGCAGTCTAAACCTACCTTGGGTAAGCTAAGTAAAAATGTCGGGAAGGCAATTTTGCTTATATATAATTGTCTAAAGCCTGCTCTAACCATAATCCAAGATGACATAACCCTAAAGTTAATTTGATAAAATATATATTATAAGAATCTACTCCGCTTTAGACGTCCCCCAAATCTGGTATATCTCCAGACTGCACTTCAACGTTTTACTTTGACGTTCGCTTTAACGCTCACTTCAACGTTTACCTTCAACATTCGCTTCAGCATTCACCTTCACATTACTTCAACGTTCGCTTCAACGTTTACCTTCAACGTTCGCTTCAACATTCACCTTCACGTTACTTCAACGTTTACCTTCAACGTTCGCTTCAACATTCACCTTCACGTTACTTCAACGTACGCTTCAAATTCTAAAAGCTTTAAATATTAAAAATTTTGCTTCAACGTTTACCTTCACGTTACTTCAACGTTCGCTTCAACGTTTGATTCAACGTTCACCTTCACGTTACTTCAACGTCCGCTTCACCGCTCACTTCAACGTTCGCTTCAAATTTCTAAAAGCTTTAAATATTAAATATTTTTTAAAATATAAAGTTAAAACGTTCGCTTCAACGTTCGCTTCAACGTTCACTTCAACGTTCACCTTTACGTTACTTCAACGTTCACCATGTTACTTCAACGTTCGCTTCAACGTTTACTTCAATGTTTACCTTCAACATTCGCTTTAATGTCGTTCACCTTCACATTACTTCAAGTTCGCTTCAATATTCACCTTCACGTTATTTCAATGATCACTTCAACATTCTCCTTCACATTGCTTCAACCTTGAAATTAAAGTTTGACGAAGAAAAGCTCGAAAAGCAACGTCAAGAAAAATTTGAATAAGGGTGTATATTGGGTAACAATGCAAACCAAAAAGATTCTACATAAACTATTTTTGACTAAATATCACATGGTGTGAATATGATTGGCAGATTATAAGATTATCAGCCAGTTTCAACACGTTGATTCAGCATTTTTTATTCACGTTCTCCGGTAGGAATTCGAAGGATTGGAAGCATACCCGACAGAAGTTAATGCCACGCTATAAAGAGAAATTATATTTTAGGAGTAATTTTATTATGTTATAAGTGCTGCTAAATTAAAAACCTGGAAATGAATATTCAAATTTTCATCGCGGTGATTGTAATCTTATAGCTTTCAGGGTTAAGTTCACCACGGTGACAACTTAAATATTTATTTCTGGTTTAACTTGGTAGCACTCGTATCGGTTCTAGCTTGAATATTAGCTAATATATTGAAGTTTGACTCCCATGAAAGGTCTTCTTCGCATTTGGAAGCCGATGAATATATAGTTTAATTATAGCGATTGAACAGATTATTTATGAACGATTGGATTTTTGTTATTTTATGTACCGTACACCACTGCTTACAGTACCCGGGGTCTTATTCAAGAATTCCATTTTTAAAATTGAATAGTACCCATGGGTACTGTGTGAAGAACCAGGTACTATATATCATATTAAAAATAGTAAATCATTATAGTTGTACCCCCGGGTCTTATTCAAGAAACAGGCTGGTAGTGATGGTGAATAATACCCGGGTCTTAATCATGGGGGTATTATTTTTGGGGGATACTGTAAGCAGTGGCATACGGTACTTTATTAATTTATTAATGTATAAGATATAAAATATTACAATTACAGAATTAATGTAATAAAAATTTTTATTTATAAAAATAAAAACGTCAAGCTTATAATAAAATCATGACCCACTTCAGCAGACTTTTGATGAATTGTGCCTATTTTTTTTTTATTTATAATTCATGCCAGTATATTTTTTCAATCTTAACCTATTTTAATAATGGCAATATTAGCATGCTACCAGAAGACTTTTTTTAAAAAGAATAAATAAATTTCTTACGTATGTATTTGTTGATTATAATAATAGCCAATGTTGGATATTGATTTTTTTTTATCTTTAAGAACACCATAGCCATTAAGATAGCAAATTTAAACATTATAAATCACTATTTTTGTTAGATTTTAAATGCCATTCATATGCTTTCTTTTTTATCAATAGAAGTTCCTATACTGTTGTAATAACTAATCCAACTTTTACTTGTTTTTAGGATTTCCATTTTGAGCAAATATTCAAATGTTTTTTTTTTATCTTTGGAAGTTTTTACATTTTCTTTGTAACAAGCATCAAGAAGAGCTTGTCTATTAGAATTTTCACCTTTGGCCAATTTCAAAACTATTTATAATTAGTATTTTTTATTTTTTAAATAAACATTTTATATTCAACTTTTGATTCTATTTGTAATTATACAGTATAGCAGTAATTGAGATATTATAAATAATAAAATAATAATATTTTTATTATGATAATACAAATTTGATATTTATAGTTAATTCTTATCAACAATCAAAATACAAAATATGTATCTAAATTATTGCAAGATCAAAATTCTATATTACTACTTTTTCTATTAGCAAATTTAATAGGGCATAATATTACATAATAAATTACAACCTGTAAAAAGGCATAATATAATGTAAGATATTTTGAAACTTTGTGAAATGTTAAATTATAAAATATTACATAAGATATTACAAAATATTATGTAAGATATTACAAAATATTGTGTGAAATATTTTGCAATATTTTGAAAAAGATAGTAAAATTTTATGACAAATTTATATTTAGTAAATTAATTTGCATTAATTTGCACAAGATTAAATTAAATAACAATAATTAAAACTATGAAAATAAGTATATTATTAAAAAATATTTAATATTGTTACAAAGTAGATTGTAATGCAATGTAATATTACATAGTATAGATTATATTTCATTGTTTGTATTATTATATTATATTTTTATATATTGATATTTGTTATATTAGGGGTTAGGGTCTCGTAGCCTAGTGGTCTAGACGCCTAACTCTTTATAGACAAGATCAACGGTTCGATTATAGCTGGTGGTAATTAATTTAATTAATTATCTCTGTAACCTTCGGGAGCTTTCGAATACGAAACCCTGTGGCAGTAAAATTATGTGATGTATATATTTGGCCAATAAAGAATTCTTAAAAGGAGCCCCGAGCTATGGAGAAGACTGGGCACTGTGTATAACATGGGTCACAGAAGATATTACTGCAGAAGGCTGTGCGTGTGAATCCACGATTGGCAAGGTAGCACCAATAACCCTAAGGCAACATTGAGATCTTGTTTGGGAGGATGGCTATATGCGGTATATCCAGAAGTGGTGAGAGAAGCGATGAACATAGTAAAGAGCTGTAGTAAGAGGATGGCTTTACCAAATATAGAACACCTCTGGCACAAGGAAACAAGGAAAACTAGCTAAAAGAAACCCCGAAAGTATAGAAGCAGGCAATCCAGTGATACGAAAATCAAGACAGGCTAGAGAGTAATATTTGCACAACCTATATGGGAGTCTATGACGAAACATGGCAGAGGCGCAGGTTCTGGGTTACTGGATTGTAACAGTAATTAAATAAGGTACTTAACTCCTATTCTAAGGATCCAGATCTCTGTATCACCATACCAATAGGGAGTACTATAGAAGGATCAGTAGCCTAATTTGATGGTGTATGACGTTAACGCTTGAGAACCGTAAAATAACATCCTGGTTGCGGCAGCAGGTCCTGTACCTGTTTAAGGACATCAAACTGGAAGTATCAAGGGTGCCCACTCGAGAGACACCAATTTGAAAGTAGTACAAGAAACAAATTAGGAGTAATGTGATAAGTACTGAGGGGTAGAAATTGGTCGGTAGACATTGTATAGTAGTATATATAGCAAGGTATATATGATTAGGTTTGGAAACCAACTGGTGATTTAGTAATTGTTCTGGTCAAAAGGGGTGGTTATTAAGAAGGTAAAATCTTATATAGCAGATTGCACATAGGTACTAAGTTAGTAACCGAGTGAGCCTTATCTGTAATAAATTAGATAGTTGTAAATATATATATGTACATTTGTAACCACAATACCTTAGAGTACTAATAAACAGTAAAGGCAAGACTGCCGAATTAAAAAAAAAAAAAAAAGAAGATATTTGTTATATTAGTTATAGAGATTTATTGGCTAGTTAGATGAGGTACAGTAATGTTGTAATAAGGTTATACAAGTACCTCTCAGTATCTTCACACAAGTACCTCTTAGTACTTCTACACAAGTACCTTTTAGTATTTCTACATGAGTACTTCTTAGTATCTCTACATAAGTACTTCTTAGTACCTTTACATGAGTATCTCTCAGTACCTCTATACAAAGTACCTTTTAGTATCTCTTAGTACCTTTGTACAAGTACCTTTTAATACCTCTATACAGTTTGGCAATTATGCTATTACACCTCTTATATGTGAAAAAGTTATAAAAAAGGAGCCTTTGCTCTTCTACTCAAGAAAGTTAATTAAAGAATTCTCTACCTTTTTATAGAATCTAGCCTTATCTTTTTACATTTCTTGTTCTTGTATAGTATGATATACTTCCTTTAGAGTAATCCTATATTAGCAAAATAAATTAATATAATCTTATATAAGTTATTACACTCTGAAATATTGCGCAATAATTACGGTCTAGGTGGAATATTGTACAATAAATTATGAAATATTACACAATAAATAATGTAATATTACAAAATATATTACATAATATTACAAAATTTATAACATAATACAGTATTATATTATTTAATATGCAATATTTTGAATTAATTCAAAATAATTCAAAATAGATGTAAATGCATCAAAACAGCAGACCAATTATAAACTAAAAAGTAGCTATTAATGAGTAAGAAATGCTAATCAATTCAAATTTATCAAATACTACACAGGTTTAATAAATATATAAAGAATACATATCAGTATCTCTTTATCATCCTAATATCTATTCTTTATATATCCATTATTAATCTGTTTTGCTACAGTTATTTGGCGGATCTATAGTAGCATAAAGAATGGATATTAGTACAACATAAAGGATAAATATTAGATAAATAAAGAGTACCTATTATTATTCTGATATTGATCCTTTATATAATAATTATCTACCTAGTTCCTATATGTGTTTGCCAGATCTATAGTAGTATAAAAGATAAATATCAGTATATCTAGAATAAATATCAGATAAATAAAGAAAACCTTTTTATGTTCTGATATCTATCCTTTATGTATCTATTATTAATCTGTTTTGCTACAGTTATTTGATGAATCTATAGTAACATAAAGAATGGATATTGGTATAATATAAAGGATAAATATTAAATAAATAAAGAGTATCTATTATTATCCCAATATCGATCCTTTATATACCTGGTTCCTACATATATTTTCCAGATCTATAGCAGCACAAAATATGAATATTAGGAGAATACAAAATGAATATTGGCTAAATAACAGGTATCTTTTATTATCCCAATATTGATATTTTATTTAAAAATTATATATTTATTTTGCTGCTGATATTGGTGATCATAGCAACGTAAAAGATAAATAATGGTACATACAAAGATAAATATTGGTTAAATAAAAAGTATATTATAGATTTATACTAGATCAGTTATTTATATTTTGCTAAAACCAAATATATACTAATATTGGAATACAAATTTTATATAAAATAAAAATTTTTATTTAAAAATATACAAAGTTTATATAAAAAAGAACTATAAAGCTAACACTAATAAAAAACAAAGATACTAGCAAAAAAGACAATTGTAAAACCAAACAATAACCTAAAATAAAGATACTGGCGAAGAGACAATCTTAGAGCCTAACACCAACCTGAAAAGAAAACACCAATGAAAGAAACAATTGTAGAGCCTAACACAAACCCAAAGCGAAGACATCAGTAAAAAAGACAATTGTAAAGCTAAACACTAATCTAAAAAAAAAGTAGGCAGTATTAGAGCCAATTGTAAAGCAAAGTACTGACTGAAACAAAGACACCAGCAAAAAAGACAATTGTAAAACCAAACAATAATCCAAAATGAAGATACCGGCAAAAGAGACAATTGTAGAGCCTAATACTAACTCGAAACAAAAACACTAGCAAAAGAGACAATTGTAAAACCAAACAATAACCCAAAATAAAGATATCAGTAAAGAGATAATCATAGAGCCTGACACCAACCTAAAAAGAAAACACCAACAAAAGAAATAATTTTAGAGCCTAACACCAACTCAAAATAAAGACATTGGCGAAAAAGATAATTGTAAAGCTAAACACTAACCTAAAAAAAAAAGTAGTCAGTGTAAAGCTAATTGTAAAGCAAAGTACTAACCAAAACAAAGATACTAGCAAAAGAGACAATTGTAAAGCCAAACAATAACTCAAAATGAAGATCACAGGTCGAAAGATAAAAAATCAGGCACAAATCAGGTACCTGATTTGTGCCTAATTTTTTATCTTTTGACCTGTAGATGCTAGCAAAAGAAACAATTATAGAGCCTAATACCAACTTGAAACAAAAATACTAGCAAAAGAGACAATTGTAAAACCAAACAATAACCCAAAATGAAGTCACTAGTGAAGAAACAATTATAGAGCCTAACACCAATTCGAAAAGAAGATACCAATGAAAGAAACAATTTTAAAGCCTAACACCAACCCAAAACAAAAATATCAGTGAAAAAAACAATTGTAAAGCTAAACACTAACCTAAAAAAAAAAGTAGTTAGTGTTAGAGCTAATTGTAAAGCAAAGTACTAACCAAAACAAAGGCACCAGTAAAAGAGATAATTGTAAAGCCAAACAATAACCCAAAATAAAGACACCAGCAAAAGAGACAATTGTAGAGCCTAATACCAACTCGAAACAAAAACACCAGCAAAAAAAACAATTGTAAAACCAAACAATAACTTAAAATAAAAACACCAGTAAAGAGACAATTATAGAGCCTAACACCAACCCAAAAAGAAAACACCAATGAAAGAAACAATTTTAAAGCCTAACACCAACCTGAAATGAAGACATTGGCGAAAAAGACAATTGTAAAGCTAAACACTAACCTAAAAAAAAAAATAGTTAGTGTTAGAGCCAATTGTAAAGCAAAGTGCTGACCGAAACAAAGACACTAGCGAAAGAGACAATTGTAAAGCCAAACAATAACCCAAAATAAAAACACTGGCAAAAGAAACAATTGTAGAGCCTAATACCAACTTGAAACAAAAACACCAGCAAAAGAGACATTTGTAAAACCAAACAATAACCCAAAATGAAGACACCGGCAAAAAGACAATTATAGAGCTTAACACCAATCTGAAAAGAAGATACCAATAAAAAAAACAATTTTAGAGCCTAACACTAGCCCAAAACAAAGACATTAGCAAAAAATATAATTGTAAAGCTAAACACTAATACTCTTAACTCTTTCTGATAATCACTTGAACCAAATTTTGCTGAAAAAACTTTTCAACAAAAACAGTAGAAACCGACTAGCCAAACTATATAAGATGTGAAAAGAGAAACTGTAAGTTGCATCTGTTGTTTAGAGGTAGTTCTTATATACTACCTGCCAACAGGCTTAGAGTTTATCACTCACTGCAAATCTGGCGCTTGTCGTTTAGAGATAGTTCTCATATGCTATCTGCCGACAAGTTCAGAGTTTATCACTTACCAACAAAAAATAAGTAGTGCAGTTCTGGCTGGAAGGAAAACTATTTCTGTTATTTCTAGTAACTTACTTTCCTTTAAGTGGTATCAAGAGGTCTTTTTCTCTTTGTTATTTTGTGCCAGTCTTAACAAAATTTTTTGATAAAAAGTGGGCATTTTGGCTTACTCTCTCCAAAAGATTAGTATTGTTTACACCTACCAAATTAGGATAAACTCAGTAGAAGGCAACCACATGTTTTGTTGTTTTGCAAATACGGTGCTACAATATGAGAAGAGATCGTCACCCCTGTTTAGAAGATATCCAAGTCAAGTCGGTACCTGGAATGAGTTCTAAAGCTAAACTATTGGTTTACAATTGAGATATAGTAATTAGTTGCAATTATTATATAATTTTTATCCTTATGCTTGACACAAGCTATACCGTATATTCCTGAAAATAAGCTACTATTTTTGGGTAAAAAATTATACAAAAATTTCAGAAGTAGCTTATTTTCAGGTAATAGAGGTTTTTTACCGTTTTTGACTATTTTTTATTAAGAAAAAGTAGTTTATATATATATAAGTCAAAATGGTACTATGTAAATCAGTAAAAGTAGCTTAATACAGTCAGGGAATATACCAAATTAGGACATCAGGTTCGAGAATAATCCATGTGCCGATCCTTAAATTTGATTGGCTTTTGTATAGCATTCTTTGGGCATTTTTTACAGCCTTAGGTCTTTATTAGAAACTCACAAATAAATGTATTAATAGATAGTAGAGGATGTCTAGTTTAGATAATCCACAATAATTCACTCTAATTAAGTTTTGTATAAAAAATGGATAAGACCCGAAATCTAAAAACCTATTTTGTACAAACTAAGCTATAGAAACGTAAAAAATGTTGTTTTATCAGCTAAAAACTTTTTTTATAGCATTAGAGTTTTAGACCCAAAAGTGCAAAATCTTAAGTTTTGTCTTTTTTTTTATTGTGTAGTGGAGTTACTAGATAAGGAATATTGGGATTATTGATTTCTAGGTGGGTATTATTTGTCACTTTTTTTTTTTTTTATACAGAACTTCAAGGTTGGGTTTTAGTATAACTTTTAGTAAGTACCTGTCATGTCTTTGTCATTTTGCACTAGGTTCTTCAATATTAACTTCTTCACTTTTGAAGAGCAGCAGATCTTCAAAACATGTCAATACCAAAATGAAAGAGTAAGTATGCTGATGAAAAGTTATTGATTTAGCAAGAGTCTGGTTTGGTTCAATATTGTAAATAGGTATGTAAAAAGGTTTTGATTTTTCTTAACACTTTTTTTTTTTTTTTTTTTGGGTCTTTAAAATTAGAACCTAAAAGTCTTGGAAGTTGAAACTTTCAGGAACAGTTAATAGAATATGGTCAAAATATTCAATATTGGTGTTGGAGCGACTGTGATAAATTATAAGTAGTATCTGTAGTTTATCTTTAGTTGTTTTTAATATAGATATTTTTTATTTGCTTTTTGTAAAGCAATAGACCTGGGACGTAAGAGCATGGTAAATCTTCTAGAATTGTTGGAGTATGAGTTGGGCCATCGTTTTGAGTTTTGAAATCTTGGCTTTGTTTTACTATTTTTTTTTTTTTTGTTTTATATAGAATAACAATTTCACATAGGTCAAGATTCGGGATTGAGAGTTTAAGATATCAACTAATACTAATATTTTTCTTGTTTTCAGGTGACTTTCTTTTTGTTGGATAGGTTACAAAGTCAAATGAACTTAGGTGTTGAAAATAAGTGTTTATATATACTACAGTACTACTGTTTATTGATTTTATTTTCAAATAATTATTAATTGATTCTATTATCTAGAGCTTTCTATTTGGGCCAAGTGTTAGCATTATAACATTATTGAGAAGTGTTGCAGCACAACAAACTCAATATGAGAGGCATGATAATAGGAGTAGTACACATTTTGCTGACAATTACTTCATTAACAACTTAGTTCACCAACAATTAATTCACAGACAAGTTTATTTTACTAACAATTATTTTACTGACAATATTTCACTAACAAAGTAATTCTGGTTATTGTTATTAGTGTCAGGTTAGAATTAGAGTTAAAATTAGTGTAATTTATAAAAAATACTTGTTAATGAAATAAGCTATCAGTGAAATAATTGTCAGTGAAATAAACTTGTCTATGAATTAATTGTCAGTAAACTAAGCTGTCTGTGAAGTAATTGTTGGTGAAATAATATGTATCCTGATAATAGTACTATAGTATTTGTAGTATAGTCTGGGTTGGTGGAGCTTTATATATCATATCATGTTTTGTTAATATGGTAATAAAATATATAATTAGTTCTTAATAATTTCTAATTTTTTATAATGTAATTATGGTTAGCAGCACCTCATATAGTACCTCTTTCAAATAGTGTTGAATACTAAGTATCCTGGTACTATCAAGTAGCCTGAATAAATGATCCTATTATTTGATCACTTATACAATTATAGCTGTTTTATAACTGATTATGCTATACATGCTGTAAAAATTATTTTGGTATAATTTCTACCTAAATTTTGGCATACAATATTGCCTAAAGCTAAAATTTATACTGCAACTAATGGTCAATATCTAAAGTCAAAATTAATGCCTAAAGGCAAAATTAATATCACAAATACCAAAAGTAATAAAGTATAATTTATCTCAAAGTGATGTGTAAAAATAAAAAAAAGGATTTATAAATCTTTTATTATTTTATACAAATTTGCAAGTTGTCTAAAAATATAGCTAGATGAATGCCAAAAGAAGTGTGGAATTATATCCAAAAGAAAAGTGCAAAGATCATACAGTAGACATTATAGTGCAAGATGAGAATGTAATAAAACTTGGGCATACAAGAAGCTAAAAAATTTAGAAAATAAGTAAATGCATTTCATAATATATAAATAAGATATAAATAAAAGTCATTTTTTTTATAAATACATATAGGGATAGTCATGATTTGACCAAAAATTTCATTTTTTATCAGTTGTTCTAGTGTATTATTTAATTTATTATCGTTATTATTATTATATCATAAAAAAACGGTATTACAGTTAATTGATTATGTAGAATAATCTGGAAAAAAATCTAGAATAATCTTATTGATCGCCAAATAAGGAGTTATATTCTCTGACTGTAATGAGAAAAGTGTATAAAGCAACTTTTAATAAATGTAGTGCAGAGGTTTAGAATCAGGTTAAAGAGTAAATAGCAAAAGTTTAAATTTTTTGCTTAAAAAATGTTTTAGAACTTTATTCTACGAATATAAGAGCTATAGACTTAAAATTTGAGTATTATATATTTTTGTATATCGGACAGCATAGCGGGCTTTAATTTAATTGGATAATCGAATGAAATATTACACAATATATTTTTCATATTGGCATAATGTTTCTTAGCCACAAAAATTGATTCGCAGCTATGAATACAAATTTGTAGAAGGTAAGACAAAAAAATTCAGAAAATATATATTCTATTTTACAAACTGCCAAGTAATTTGGTAATCCGTGAAGTAATTCGAAAGTTAAATGAGAAACCTTTTTTTCATTTTTTATAACCATATAACCGTCTAGATCTTAAATGCAACTCAATTCCTTCTTTTATAAAGACTCCAGTACCTTACAACAATACAAACCAATATTTGTGTGCGAGCCTTTGTCCTTAAAAGAATCAAGTGTCAGTTAAGTCTTTTTTTTGTAGAAACAAATATATGCTTAACAGTTTTGTAACTATGGATTATTAACAATAATTTTTTTCAATTTTTTGAGCTTTATTAGACGTCAGGTGGGCAATGCGTGTTTGCCTGAAGATTTTTTCGTCAAATACTTTTCTGCATAGCTGAAGATGAAGATATAAAATAGATTCCAAGAGTGTAGTGAATGTGAAATAGTATTAGTAATAAATATTAAGAGCATTAGAGAATTTGATATTATTAATTGTAACGCAATATACATAGAAGTTATAATAATGAATACTTAATAAATTATTAAATAAAAATAATTAAATAAATCAATTTTAATTTATTATATTTTAATTAAAATGTTTAAAAAAACATTTATACATGAATCAAAATTCAGAATATAAAAATCTATTTTATTTTATATAATTAAACTTATAACTTTTTCATTGTACACTTAAAATATCTATAGCTCTTTCAAAAAATAAATCTATATTACTACAATCTATACTCTTGTCTAAATAAAAGCTTTCACTAATACTAGTATCGTCACCAACATCGACACTATTATTAATTTCTGTAACATTCAATTCATCTGCATGCTTTTTTTTCTTCTTTTTATCCGATGAATTTAAAGTTGTTTGAAAAGCCTCGCAATTCTTCTCAATTCCGCTTATAAGATAATCCACACAATATCGGCATCGGCTTTCTAATTTGAACAAAAAACAATCGAAATGATAAGCATGCCCCAAATTAAAACAAAACCTATCTTACAAGAGTTTATGCAGCCCTCAAAGTCACAATATCTATTTTCTTGTAGAGGATGCACCGTATTCCAAGCCATGGATAATATTTTTATTTCAGCTTTGGCCCGAAGAGTTGGAAATTCATATGTTACTGGATTTGAATGTTTATCAGACGAGATAACCTTCGATTTACCGAGATTTCTGTGGACGTCTGAAAAAAACTTTAATAAAAAAAGCACAGTGTGCTTTTCAAGATACTCTAATTGTTTTACTGAGTATCTAATATTATAACTCTCAGTAAACGTATTCTTAAAGAAATTTTTCCTGCGCATCTGATTGATTATTTGTACTTCTATAATAATTTGATCTGCTGTGTTTGACTCTTGTATTTGCTGTCGAAGTGAACTGTGAAAGTTTTCAACAAAGTAATCATTAAAAACGTGGAGAGAACCTACAAGAGCTTGAGAGATAGAATGATTAGTGCTGATCCAAAAGAAAACATCACTTAAAAATGTCAATAGCAATTTATTATAATGTTTTTGCTGATATTGATAAAAAATAGCCCAAACACAGAACATTGCTTCTATATAGGCTTGCCAATTCCCACTGTGAAATATGATAGGGTAAAAATCTAAAACAAGTAAGACAATATTATCTAACAAATTAATAAGGTATCTAACTTCTGGATCTTTTGAATGTTCAAACTTTCGCAAAACTATAGAACGCACTCGGGACCAACCCTGTGATACAAATCAAAAATCTGAAAATTGAAAAATTGATTAGTTGACAACTAATTGATTAAAAAATTTTTGGCAACTTATATTAAAATCAAATAAAAATCAAATAATCATTTAGTTGATAACTAATTGATTGCAAAATTTTGACGATTTGTATCACTACCTGTGATGCTAATTCTAAAATTAAATTAATTTTATAAGATTTTGGCTTTTGTGCCAAAATCTTATTTTCTCCAAAAACCCCATAATAGAGTAAGTTAAAAATTGGTAATTTAAAAGAAAAACTGTTTCACGACTATTTAAGGATACATGCAAAGGTCCAATCATTGGAATGATATGCAGAATTTGTTCTGGTATTCTAGAAGAATCTTCAGATTTAATACGATGGGTAATTCCACGACATACATGAAGTTGATCGGAATAGTCCATAAGCACTACCAATACTCGCATCTCCATGTAGACTCTTACTTCAGAAATACTTATTAAATGCTTAACCGCATTTACATATTCCTTGGTTGAATGAAAAGAGCCTTCTTTTAAACAAACAAGTTTTGTGTTTGCCATACTTCTATCTTCCCAATGTTGTTCAATCCTATCATCATAGCTGTGAATAAGGAGGCGTTCGACTCTTTCATCGTGGGTTCTTGCACAGATACAAATTCAGCAAATGCACTTTTTCTTCCTGTATAGCTAAGCTATAAATAAGAAAAAAAAACATAAGTATGCATTTTGTATAATAATTTCTGAATCAATACCCCTTTCATTATGAATACTCTTTTCTTGATTAGGGTTATTAAACAGAATCAACATTGCTTCAGACACTGCTTTTAAAAGTATTGTAATAAAATATGAGATATTATATGTGGTGGTTGTATCACTACGACGAGATTTATGAATATTATGAAAATTGTCCACATTAAGAACGACCAGGCTTTCGATCTGTCAAAAAACTATTAGTTAGTAAAAAAATAAAATAAAATAAAACAAAAAAATAAATAAATAAATAAAATAAATAAAAATAAAAATAAAATTATAGTTTACCTCGAGGATAGATTAGCCAGAAATGGTTGGTAAGTCCTAAGGCAGTCAGTAATTCTTTGCCAAGGTGATAC